AAATTTGACTGACTAAGCCATGTCTGGATTCTTTTTCATTAATTTATCATTTACAAATAAAATGCATTTACATTCAAAATTGATAGGGTTTCTTCGTGAGTTTATTCTAATTTTTATATGGACTAGTTTTTTATCTGATAAAATAAATTTTTACTGAATTGAAATTCTTATCCTTCTCTAGTAAATCCTTCACACTGGCATGTCCTCCGACCACTTTTGCTCTATCTCCTAAAAGTTATGGCAGAAAAGCGCTCAAATGATTCATTTGAGGGAAAAATATTTGACCAACATCCAAATCGTCAATTACCAGTTTGGCCACCGCAGAGGTTGGCATGCCATCGTGGTAGTACTGGTGCCTTGCAGCGTCTCGACCTTGAGCTTCGATTAACATTGGGGTGCCTTTATGCTAGACTTGGCCCGGAAGGTTTTCTACACTGCCTTCTAGACGGCAAACTTGATTATTCGGACGAGGTGATCGCAACCGTGCCTTTATATATATAGTTAAAATGTGTAATTCGAACATGTATTCTGGCAGAGCCCCCTTGGGGTTATTTCCTCCTTATGAAAAACTAATTTATTGTTTATTGATTTTAACCAGATTCTTTTTACTACATAAGTTTATTTTTCGCCAGATCTCACTTCATTTTCCGACGTAAATTTATTCTTACATTTTTTAAATAAGTTTTCTTCTTGCGTTTGGAATCCCTATTTTATTAAACTCACGCTTTTAGTGCTCATTTATAGATGCTAATTGGTTTTTTTCTAAATGTTTTAAATGTTTGTTTAATTATTTTTTGTAGGCTACATTAATGGTGACTGACTTATTGGCGGATTTCGACTGCGTACTTCCACATGCACCATACCTTTGATTCTGAAATTTAGTTGGTATGTTGTTATATCTTAACATTTTCCATATTCTTTGTTATATTTTGTCCACTCTGTTATTCAGCCTCTAGACTTTGCACTTAACTCGTTAACCTCGCTTTCACAAAAGTTCATAGTCTAAGGGATGAGCTTAAAAAACCTACCTATCACTGCCTTCCCTACCATATAATTTATGCCTTTTTACATTAGCTTACTGTTTGCTTGATATACATTTCCCCAGCATTGTAGTCAGCATTATCGGTGGGAAACGTCGTCCTTAGTTTCGACCGATAACTCTTCATAGGTACAAGTAATCACAATCTTCTTGATCAATATAG